CCGCCGCCCGGCAGCCCGCCCCGGCCCGCGTGCGCCCCGCGGGGAGCGGGGGCCAGAGGGCCCGGCGAGCCGGCGAGAGCCACCGTGGCCGGCAGGCCGGAGGAGGCGGGGTTCGGCCCGAGGACAGTCTGGAAGGGCCGAGGCTGAGGCCACGAGCCACCCTCCCGCGGGACGGCGAAAGCGCCGGCGGAGCCCCCGCACCGACCCCGCGCCCCGGTCTGCGGGCGCGCTCCCGAGCGCGTCCAGCAGGTGGCGCCCGGCGTCCCGCCTGCGGGGCTCGTGGAAGCTCTAGAAGGCGCTCCAGGATTTCGAGGCAGCCGCGGCTGCAGCTGGGTCCGGGGGAAAAACCGGGGCTGGAGCACCCCTGCCCTCCCGCTGGTTTCCCTCGTCTGAGCTCGGATTGGGGTCTCGGAGCGCCTGGCGGCGCGGGGCGGGGGAGGGGAGGGAAGAACGGAACTGGAGTCTTTGGAACCTGAGGATCGGCTCTGGGAAGCGTCGCCCGTTTTGGGGGGAACGGGAGGCGGGGACTCCCTGGGGAAGGTGACCGGGCCGGGGAGGGGCTCGGCTTTCCGTGAGAACAAAGGCTGAGTCCTGGGGAAGCCAGAGGAGAGGGGTGTGCCATGGGGGGGCAGACCTCAGCCGGTGCTAGGGGGCGCTGCGGGCCGGGGCCGCGGAGGGGGCGCCTGCAAGCCCGGGCCGTACCTGCGGCGCCAGAAGCTGGAAGGAGGCCTCGGAGATCTAGGGGGGGAGGCTGAGTCAGGGGAATGGGTAGGCACCCTCCCTGCTGCCATCAATAGTGCCTAATTAAGACAAAGCCAGCAGCGAGCCCACTGATTACATTTCCATGAGGAGCTAAATTGATGACATTTTCTTTGCCGGATGCGGAGGGGGGAGAAACTGGGACCTCAGTTCCCCCTTTTTCTGGTTGCCGTTCACACCTGACAGATCTCGTTCTGCCCGTCCACCGCTACAAGGCCGTCTCGGGGACTCCTGAAGGGCCCTTGGGTTAATCCACACCTATCCTAATCTCTGCACCCCACCTATCCTAATCTCCAGCATTGGTAGCCCCTGGCCTGGGCACTCCCCACCCCTGCTATCCTGGAGGTAGGTTCCTGGGCTCTGCTGGCCCCCTGCCTGGGCCGGAGTCCTGGCTGAAAACAAGGATTGAAGTAGTGAGGGGTCCTGCCACACCCCTCGCCAGCTGCGCAGCGAGTAGGGCTAAGTGGGTGATAGATCCCCTAACCAAAGAGGCAGCGGGTGGCAGAGAGAGGTGGCATGATTGGCCAGATCCCCCAGGGAAAAGTCCCCAAGGAGTGAAGATTTGAGGGGAGGCGTTGGGTGGGGAGTCTTCTAGGCAGGGCTCCTGGCTCCCCGGGGAAAAGAATGCAGTGTAGACCCGGTTTCTTTTCTGCCTGCCCCCCCCCCAACCTTGGCTGTACCTAGGGATCCCAGCCCCCTCCATTATGCTAAATAGGTAATCAAACATCTCGCTTTGCTAATTACTGCTCAATCCGATTAAACGCTGCTGAAAGCTCATCAACAGAGGTGGAGGTAGGGGGGAGGGATGAAGGGAAGCCAACCACAGCTGTGAGGGGGGTCTTGTCCCCGGGGGAATGAAGGGGACAGCTGAGACACACGGCCAGGGTACCGAGACTCAATACCTCCCAAAGGAGAGGGACTGGAGGGTTGTGCCCACAAGCCCCTGACTCTTGCCGCACCCCCCAGCCTCAGCCGGGCCCTCCCCTCCCCCCCCCCAGACCTTCATTACCCTCAGAACCCAGGCATCCGGCCATTCCCACAGCTACACACACCCCTGTCCCAGATTTAATAAGTTCTGTTCTCTCACTGTCAATATTTGATGTCTCAGAGCCATCTCCACGGAGAGAGGGGGACTCTTCCCTTGCTTCCCCCCTACCTTGGCCGTCCTTTGCCCACCCCAGTGTCTTTGTGCCCCCAACCTTCTCTAACTAGCTGACTTAATGAAATGATATTAAAGTCTTAAGCAACTCCAAAAGAATGGTTGTTATGGTGAAAAGAGCGGGCAGGACGCCTGGGTCCCCGAGGGGAGCAAGGGCTGAGGAGGGGGAGAGAGCCACAGGCTAAGGTCTAGAGGCCTCAGTCCCCAGTGGGGAGCAGCAGATTTGGGGTGAGCTGGGGGCCGGACCTCTGGATCTTGGCGGGAAGTAGGGAATGGGGGCTGGGAGAAGGTGGGAAGCGAGGACATTCGGGGAGTCAGGGTCCCGGCCTGTTGTCCGGAGCATCCGTCAGGGATGGAGAGGCCAGCGTGGGGGGACCGGGCCTCTGTGCCAGCAGCCTCCTGCTGACTGTGCCCTGGGCCGGTCCCGTGAGAACCAGAGTAGATCTCTCTCCAGCCCTGACTCATCCCTCTTCCCCCCCTTGTCCCCCAGCAGACCCCCACAGGTGATTTGTAGCTGATGCCCTCACAATGGTAGGGGCCAGGAGAGAGTCGTTCCGGGACACGAAGGGCTGAGAGCTTCCAGAAGAGGAGAGAACAGAGGCCAAGAGATGGGGAGCCAGGCGCCACCCCCACCTCCCCCCACCCATCCCCATCTCACTCCCCTGGGGACCCTGGCCCAGCCCCAGTCCCCTTGGGGTGGTGGGAATACTAGGACATTTGGCTGGGGCTGATTGATGAGGGAGGAGGCAGCCACCAGGGCACCAAGGAGGTTGCTGTTTGCTGAGCACACAGATTCCTCCCCACTCACCAGCTGCCGCCCCCCAAGGCTGCTCAGTCTCACCGCCAGCACTGGGGCTGCAGGGAGCTGATGCCTGGGCTTCTGAGGGCAACCGGGGGAAGAGGGGGAACCGGGACCCCAGATGCTTCAATCCACCGCGGGAGTCGGGGGGTTCCTCAGACCCGGTGCCCTCAGAACTCGTTTCGGGACCCCACCTTCCCTGCCACCTTTCTGACCTCTCTCCTCCTGCCCGGTTTTCGCTCCTCTTCATAGTCCCCACCCCCCCCCCCCCCCACTCTCTGAGCGTATCCAGCCCAATAGCACCATTCCCAGCCTTGATCTTGAAACTTTCCCGGGAGGTGGGGGGGGTGCGCCCTACGTTCCTGATTCCCCATATAGCCCCTTAGGAAACTCCATTTTTCTTTCTAACTGAAATCCCACTTACGATGTCAACCATTCCCCATCAGAAATTCCCACCGCAGCTCTTTCCTGAAAACCCCCACCATAAACCACACACACACACACACCTCAACCTAATTTACATACTGCAGAGTGTGAGCCCCCAGCCAGGACAGCCTCTGCTGTTTGGGACAGGGGTGGGGGCAGCTTCACAATCCATGGTCTCCAGCCTCTCGGTCCCTTTAGTTCCTCCCTGCCTGCCTGCTCTAGACCCTTTACGAGCAGCGGTCCCCCAGCCCCCCGCAAAAGCTCAGAGCATCATCCTTGCCCACCCAGCGCTTAAACTCTACTGGAGGAAAACACACCGCACGCCCAAGAAACAAAAGGGGGGGCATGCCGAATTAGACCAGCTTCCTGCATGTGGATTCTAGACCCTACGTGACTTGCTCCCCGCCAGGCTGAGGCTGGGGAAGGACAGGACACATCTGGAACATCCACAAGGCTGTGGATGTTCCCAAACATGTCCCAAGTTCACCTCTACCCTTTGCATTTGCTGTTCCCTCCGCCGGGGCGTGCCCTTCCCCCACCTCACTCAAGGTCTGACTCAAAGGTCACCTCTTCAGAGGGACCTTCCTGACCTCCTAAAGCATCTTCCCTGCGAATCTCTATCCTCTTCATGCTGTTACTCCGTTTTGTTTACACCGCTTGTCACTGCCCGGAGATGTTACTCTGTTGTTCCCCACCAGGATGCGGACTTTGTGAAAGCAGGGACTTTATTTAATCTATAGTCTCAGTGCCCGAGACGGTGCCTGGGACCAAATAGACACTTTACGTGATGCTGAGTGGATAAGTGAATGAAAAAAAAAAA